TGAGAAGCAGAAAGACACTCGCCTGCCTCGCACACCAGGCGCAGGCTAGTAGATTTTGTGTGCTCCAGCGCCGCAGAGGGACATTGGGGGGGGCTAAAGTGTCCGTGAGGACTCCCCAATTCTGGGTGGAAGGAGCCCTGAGCCTCGGGGGCTGGATGCAGGCAAGCTGGGGGCTGCATCCAGCCTCTGAGCCTAACCCCAATTCTAGTCTTTTTCTATGGAGCCTTAAGCTTTCCAGATCCTCGCCAAATTCAGACTAAGCTCCCTGGTTCTCCCCCTTGGCAGCAGGACACAGAGGGGAGGGCTCTACCCCGGCAGAGCATGGCACCTCATGGCTCAGGTTTGCGGAGCTTCTTCACTAAGCAGATTGTGTTTGGTGCCAAACGGGAGGTGGCCTCGCTCGCTTCAGGGGAGAACTACGAGCTGGGCTTTACTTGGCCCTGCACATGCTAGTGTTGAGAACATAAGAACGGCCAGACTGGGTCAGACTCAAGGCCCATCTAGCCCAGTGTCCTGTCTGCCAACAGGGGCCAATGCCAGGTGCTCAACAGAAAGGGATCACAACAGGTAATCTTCATGTGATCCTTCTCCTGTCATACATTTCCAGACAAACAACTAGGGACACCATTCCTACCCATCCTGGCTAATAGCCATTGATGGACCTAACCTCTATGAATCTATTTAGCTCTTTTTTGAACCCTGTTCATGTTCTAGCCTTCACCACATCCTCTGGCAAGGAGTTCCACAGGTTGACTGTGCTCTGAGTAAAGAAAAACCTCCTTTTGTTTGTTTTAAATCTGCTGCCTATTCATTTCATTTGGTGACCCCTAGTTCTTATATTACAGGAACGAGTAAAACCCCCTAGTTCTTATATTACGGGAACAAGTAAAAAAGTTTTCCTTATTCACTCTTTTCACACCAGTCTTGATTGTATAGACCTCAGTCCTATCCCCCCCTTAGTCTCCTCTTTTCTAAGCTGAAAAGTCCAAGTCTGTTTCATCTCTCTTCATAGGGGACCCGTTCCAAACTCCTCATCACTTTTGTTGCCCTTTTCTGAACCTTGTCCAATGCCAAGAGATCTTTTTGGAGATGAGGCGAGATGTCTCCAGCTCTGTGGATGCTTGGAGTGCAGCGGCAGGGAGGATGGGTCTGTGGGGCTACAGGAGGAGATGGGGAGAACCTGAGCTGGCTGGGTCCAAATCCTTGCTGGGCTTCTCCGGAGCGGAGAGGACCATGTCACAGTTTGCGGGAGAGGGGGGAGATGCTTGTGAGCCAGTTGGTTGCGCTGCAGCAAACCTCCCGCGCGGTTCCTGTGCTGGAGCAGTGCCGGCTGCGGGGTCTCTATGACCAGGCTGAGCAAGCCCCTTTCCCCATCAGATCCTGCACTGGGGGATTCGTTCCTGCAGTGATCATCAGCAAAGGCCTTGGCTTCTCCCTTTCGCACCTGCTCTGTTCCCTCCCATCTTCCTCTCTCCTGGCATCTCCTCTCGAACTCCTGGCATCCCCCTTCGCCACCTGGTCCGTGCCTCTGTACAGCCCCTCCCCGCGCCATCTGCGAGAGCAGCTTCGGCAGCCCATGCCAAACAGATGGGCCGGGTCCTGGTGCTTTTGAATGAATAAATAACGTCGGTCAATTAAACCGAAAACAAGGCTAGAAAGGCCCCCAGGGGAGGCTAACGGGGGCGCTCGTTGAAGGGCTGAATGCCATTAGCAAACGCTGTAGTAATGGGAGATGGGGTACCCCAAGGGGGTGGTGCCCTCCTTCGTGTACCAGCACAGTTGCCAATCCTCCGGGCTTGTCCTGGAGTCCACAGGAGTGAGGCCCACGTGGTGACACCTCCGACCGGCCGGAGCTGGCCTCTGAGCACGTGCTGCATGGCCGGGCCAAGGGGCCAGCTTTGCCAAGCCTGGCCATCAGTCTCTGATGCGCTGGCCCGAGCGGTCGGTTGTGGGCTGTTCACCAAGCAGCTCCCCGGTCCCTTTCCCCATCCTGCTGCGTGGCGCCAGTGTCCGATTCGTGGCTTCCTGGGCTACACAAGCCCTGCTCTCGCAGCCGGAGCCGTGTTTCGGGGTCCACACGTATTCATCCGTGTGCCGGGGGAGGTGAGGCCCAGTTCTGTGCCCAGCGATGGGCCAGCTGAGGGGCGAATCTTGCCCCAGCAGGCGAATCTTCTCTAAGGGCTTCTCTCCATCAGTGATGGCGGCGTTGTTCATGCGCCTCCCCTGGGAGGGGGCGTTTCCTCCCTGGGGAAGGGCTGGCAGCCTGCCCGTTACTGCCCTCCCTCGCGGGTTTGCTGGGTGAAGGGCCGTGTGCTGGGCTCGTAGCATCTCTGCTCGCTGAGGCTCTTGGGGAGATGCACCCAGTCAGCAGCTTCCTGAACCGCACCCCTCCCCAGCCAACGCCGACTCTTTGGGCTTGGTTGCCCTCTGCCATCCTGGCAGGCCCCATGGCGCTAGATAGTGTGTGTGTGGGGAGAGGGAAGCCCTATGCACCAGGCTGTGTCTGCAGATGCCTCCAGGCACTGGGGAAATCTCCAAGGGTATGTCTACACTAGCTCGTTAATTCGAGCTAGGTAGGCAAAGCAGGCAACCGGAGTTGCAAATGAAGCCCGGGATTTAAATATCCCAGGCTTTATTCGCATGTTCCCGTCCGGCATCCGTTTTTAAATCCCCCTTAGTTCATATTAACTGTTACACCTCATTCCACGAGGAGTAACAGATAATCCGAACTGAGGACTTAGTTCGGATTAACTTTAAACTGCCGCATGTAGCCGCGGGCAGTTCGTTCAAACGAAGGGGGATTTAAAAACGGAGGCCGGACGGGAATATGCAAATAAAGCCTAGGATATTTAAATCCCGGGCTTCATTTGCAACTCCGGTTGCCTGATTTGCCTACCTAGCTCGAATTAACGAGCTAGTGTAGACCTACCCCAAGATAGGGAGATGGGATGGGTTCTGGAGTGGCCTATTGGATAGGGGATTTGCCAGGGGAGCACAGGGTTCAAGTCCTACCCCCCTCTGCCCACCCAGGCAGCTGCTGGAGGCCATCACTATTGGCTCCCCTGCAAGTGATGGATGCTCCGGCTTTGCCCACACGTTTAGGGTCAGGCCTGTCGAAACAGCTCTGTCCTGCTCCCCTGAGTCTCTCTCCTCTTGTGCTTTTTTCTGCTCTGGGAGCCTTTGAGCCAGTGGAGCAATGGAGAGCAAGCTGAGACTCTGTTCGGACAGGCGGAGCCTCAGGCTACGTCTACACTGTGGCTTTTGCCTCAAGAGCCTATGCAAATGAAGCGTGGATTAGTATATCGCCGCACGTCATTTGCATAATTTATTCAAGCCATGTTTGCGCAAAAACAAGCCGTGTGGACTTTTTTTTTACGCAATACCCCCGTTTTGCTCAAGATCCTTATACCCTTATCCCAGAGAGGCATAAGGATCTTGTGCAAAATGGGAATTTTGTGCAAAACAACCCCGTTCACGTTGCTTGTTTTTGTGCAAAAACCCCTTGCGCAAAAAATGACTTGAATAAATTATGCAAACAAAGCATGGCGATATGCTAATCTGTGCTTCATTTGCATAGGCTCATGTTGCAAAAGCCGCAGTGTAGACGATGCCTCGGTTGTGAGCGCCTCGCTGTGCAGATGAGGGAGAAAAGGTGCATGACGCTCTGTCTGCGTGCGTGCACTGAGATCCCTGGCTGAGTGTGCGGCGGAGGAAACTGGGAAGTCCCTGTTTTGTCTCAGTTTGCTCTGATAGCAGCTGAGGGAATAAAGATGTGGAAGGGGGTCTGGGTTTACAGCGCCCCTCTTCCTCTGAGAACATTTGTGGGTTTTGCAAAGGCAAAATAGTCTAGTGGTCAGAGCAGGGAACCTGGAGCCAAACAAGCCTTGTCTGGCTTGTGCCACAGCGTTTCTGTGAAACTGCCTCCGAGGCTGATCAGTCAGTGTGTTTCCAGACCCCCCACTCCCGCCCAAGATAGCGATCTGCGGTGTGGAGCTCAGCGGGAGACTCGCTCGGTTCCACCATGGAGCCTTCCGACAGGGCGCCGGGCTCCACTCCTGGCTCGGCCTTGCGCTCGCTGCGTGACCTTGAGCGAATCGCTTTGGGAGAGACGTTCCAGAAAGGCCCGTGTGATTGATGCTGCCCTGTGATCCTGAGTCACGGACGTGCTGCTGAAAAACTACCCTGGGCCTGTTTGTGATTCTGTGCCGCCCCCACCCTCCCCCTTATTGGCCTGTTAAACCCAGGGTTGTGAGTTCAATCCTTGAGCGGGCCATTTAGCGATCGGGGGCAAATCTGTCAGGGATGGTACTTGGTCCTGCTGTGAAGATAGAGGACTGGACTTGATGACCTCTCAAGGTCCCTTCCAGCTCTATTAGAGAGGTATAGCTCCATTTATTATATTCTTAAGAGGCTGCTTACCTGCCAACACTGTCATTTCCTCAAGGCTGGGTCTTAACGCATGCTGGCATCTGATTCCAAGCCAGCTGGATCGCTAGGATCCGAGGCATGCGGGCTGCGTGCTGGGCAGTGGCTGTTCTCCCTCGGCCTCCCACCTCCCCAATACAGCTTGTGTTGAGTGGAGAGCTCTGCAAATACCCCACATGCCCATCCAGAGGCTGGCTATGGAAAACTGGGGTTCAAACCGGTGTCTCCCAAAATGGCTCTTCAGAATCCCACGTCGCCAGGATGGGAGGGAAGGATCAAGCATCTCCGTGGGCAAGTGACACGCCCAGGCTTGTCTGCGAACCGCAGACGGCTCGGCTCAGGGCCTGGGACGGTCAGGAGCCAGGGGGCCATCTTCTCTACCAGGGTGTTTCTCACCGCCGGGCAGTGTGGGGAGCATGCAATCAAATTCCCCCATGTGGTACGTGGGGGTGCAGAAGGGCGGTGGAGAGGCCGGTGGCGGGGAGTCCGTCGGCTCTTCGTGCGCACGCGGCGCTTCCCAGCAAAGCGCTGTACCGGCCTGGCCTGACGGCCGCGTGTCCCCCTCTCTCTTCCAGCTTGGAGCCGTGGTGCACAATCCCGTCCAGTCCTCGCTGCTGGGCTTCTCGGCCGTCAGCACCTCCCTGCCGCAGGGGTATCTGTGGGTAAGTGCAGCCTGAGCTGATCTGCCGGGGAACAGCTCCCGAGAGTCGGGGGCTAGCGCCAGGCAGGGCTCACCCTCTGGGCCCGAAGTCGCTGAGGCCTGTGGTGTCCAGCTACTACGGTGATGGGCGAGGTGAAGAGGAGAGATGCGTTGGGCGGGGTTCAGCCGAGTTCCTGGGCAATCCGGGCCAGCACGCCGTTGGTCGGTGTCAGCGGGGAGGGGGCTGGCAGCAAAGGGGAGGGCGGTGAAACGCCGCAGCCCCAGACGTTTTGGTCCCTTGCGGGATACTAAGGCCGGGCGGACACATCTTAATGAACCCCCCGGCCTAGTGAGTGCGGATGGGGCGGAGGCTCCGCTCTCAGACATGCCTCTGCACCTCAGAGAGCCTGCGGCCCAGCTGGGGCTGTTGTGTGCAGCCAGCCTGGCCCCTTAGTCCCTGGCCAGAGAGTCAAAGCCAGGGGAGGAGTTGTCACGACGATGGCCCACGTAGCTTGTCCATTCTGGTCTCCCCCACTGTGGCAAAGCCAGGGAACGAGGGGGGCCCCGTGTTTGCCGTGGTGATGGCGGCTCGGGGTGGGGGCGATGCTCCAGCCGACGGGAGCGGAAGTCAAAAGCCCTTCCGGGTGTCTGCTTCTATCTCCACAGGTCGGGGGAGGCCAGGAAGGCGCAGCAGGCCAGGTGGAGATCTTCTCGCTCAACCGTTCGGTGCCCCGCACGGTGAAGTCCTTCCCGGTGGCCTCCCAGGTGCTCTGCATGGAATACATTCCTGAGGCCGGCGAGGGGGAGCCGGAGCAGGGAAAAGCGGAGGATTCGGGAACGGCGGCCGAGCAGCCCTCCGCTCCGCCTCCCACCATCTGCCTGGGGCTGCAGGACGGCAGGTGAGTTGTGGGTAGGGGGTTCGGCGGCACCGTCTCCCGAGGGCGGTGTCTCGGCCTCGTGGTATCCTGTATGCAGGCAGCTGCCCCCTGTCATCGCCGTCAGTCAGCCACCGTGACGTGCTGTGTATGGAATGGCAGCGGCCTGCTACCCCCCGCAGCACCGTCAACTGCAGATATCCGGCTGGCTGGCCCTGCGTTGGTTTCCTCCTTTGGCTTTCCTTCTCCTCCTGTGACCCAGTAGCGTTGTGAGGACACCCAGTGTCTCCCACCGTGGGCCTGGATGCACCTTCCACTCCTGGAGCAATGGGCGGGGCTGTGTGTGGAGCACTTCTCGTAAAGCGCTTTTAACTCTCTTCCTCTCTACCATATTTTTCTTGCCTCCTCTGGCCTGGAAGGTGGAGTCCAGGCCCCCGACAGGCTCTGTAAATCACAGCCGGTAGATACCCCCCATCTGTCCTCTCCACCCCCCGGTCTCGTCTTGCATTTGCCGCAGCAGGATGCCTGTGCAAAGCCCAAGCTCTGGGCATCTCCGGTGTCCCCAGACCTAGCTCTCTCTGGCGCTCCTGGCATTGCGCGTGTTGATTTGCCCACGTTCTCACTTAGCTCCGTGGCTACGGGAAACTGCCAAGCGGTGAACGTAACCTGATGGCACCTCCCTGAGGCGGAGCCCTGAGTTTGGCGTTGCAGGCGCCAGCCAGTCCCAGAACTCCAGTTCAGACACAGCTGTCTGCTCCTAGCTGTGCCTGCCCCAGGCTAACTCCTGGGCCTGGAAGAGCTGGGCCAAACCGTCCTGTGTCTGGGAGCAAACGGGTGGGGCAGAAACAGAAGAAATCAGCTGTGGGGGGGGGCATGTTCAGACCCTGCTTTGGGCAGGCGGCTCAGCTGGGCCTCCTCCCGCTGCCCACCCTGTGCCCAGGACTCCCGGTGTGCTCAGCAGCTGGCCAGGCTGGGCGCTCACCATGGTAACTCCACGCTTTCCCCTCTGTCCAGCATCCTGGTCTATGGCAGCATCGACACGGGGGCTCAGTGCCTGCTGCCCTGCAGCAGCCCCGGGCTGCAGCCTGTCCTCTCCCTGAAGCACAGCCCGGACTACCTGTTCGCCGGCCTGCAGAACGGCACCGTTGCTGCTTACGCCAGAAACAGCGGTGAGCACGAGAGCAGCATGGGGGAGGGGAGGAAGGAGGGGGACCGGTGCTTTGCTTTCAACCGGCCTTCCCCAGGGATCTGGAGTGAGGCTGGCCCGACGGGAATGATCGCCCCGCCTTCTCCCAGCAGCGGGTCTGCGACATGTCTCACCTTTGGCCTGGCTGCAGGAGGGCCGCTAGTTAACCCTTCGGTGTTTGTTGTACTGGTGCCTGGTCCATGCGTGTGACATGCCTCGTGCTGGCCGGGTGGGAAGGAATGGGATCTTCTAAACAGCCAGCCTGTGGCCAGTGTCCTGCTCAGAAGGGAAGGATGGTGGAGTGGCACCGGTTGGCCCCGAGGAGATGGAAGCCGTGGATTTAAATCCCTGCTCTGCCACAGACCTCCCTCCATAACCTTGGCCAACTCACTTAACCTCTCTGTGCATCATTTCCCTATATCTAAAACAGGCCTCATAGTATTGCCCTGCCTCCCAGGGCTGTTGTAGGGATAAGTATGTCTGAGATGGAGAGCCACTCGGCTATTGTTGTAATGAAGGCCGTAGATGTACCGAAGACAGGAGATGATGGGATATGGAAATGTCCCGTATACCACATCCTGGCTTCAGTTTTCAATCAGTTACTGCTCTTCTCATGGCCATTTGCACATGGTAACCGTGGCCTGCAGGCGTAGCCGCCCTGGTTGCCCCACATCTCTGAAGGGAACAATACTAAACCTGACCCAGGGGAGGCAGAGTCTTGTCCAAACCTTCCCTACGCCACATGGGGAAAATTGATCCCAGTTTATTGCCAAGCGATTTAAAACCTTTTATTTCCTGCTGTTGTAAATATATAGAGAGGGAGCTGCTGCTAAGTGAATGCAATCGCTGGAATTCAGGGTTCGTAACAGCTGCAGAAATAAAATCCTCTTTGAGAATTAAACTAATTTCCTATTGATTGGCTGGCACTTCGCTGGCGCCGCACACCCACGTTGTCTCCAAGTGGCTTTTAAACTTCCTTGCTCGGCGTTCTGGATGGACAATGGAGGTGTGTCAGATCCATTCAACACAAGGAGTGTTCCTTGGCCTGCCAAGCTCCACAAGTGTTGCCAGAGAGAGACATCTGCCAGGAGGAGGCCCCCAGGAGAAATTGGCAATCTCCATTTACCAGAATAAATCGAATCCAGCCAGGCTTGGTAGCCACCCTTCGACTGATTGTGGCCATGCCTAGCCAGAGAGAATTTTGGGGGGAAATTGACTGTTCTACTGAGGGCCAGGTAGGGTTGCCAGATGTCCGGTGTTGAACCCGACAGCCCGGTATTTTCTGTTTTTCCCGTGGCCCAGGAATTAAAGGGCATTTCGGGTCACTTCCTCTTTTTTCTTCTCAACAACTTTTTCTGCGGTTCTTTTTTTTTCCTGCTCAACAGAATTTTTTCCCAGCCTGTTTTTTTGGGTTCGGTATTTTTTGTGAAACCATCAGGCAACCCTAGGGCCAGGGCAGAGCCATATACACCATTCAGGCTGTCAAAAGAGGGCTGAAGAGATTCATCCCTGCTGACTGTCATCCTGGTCGCTGTCAGGATTTGAACCTGGGACCTTCAGAGCCCAGAGGACATAGCCCAGCCCCTGGAGCTAAAGGACTAAGTACCTGTGCCGGCATCAGTGATCGTCAGCGTCTTACTGGATCAGGCAGAGAGGAAGACGCCCAGATGGGGGGCCGGGTCGAGATTTCGTGCTATGGACAGCGTCCCCCTCTGGGTTGGGCGCTGGGGGCCGGGTGTGTTGTGTCCTGCAGTAGGGCGGGGAATACTCTCTCCTCAGGTCTGGAGGGCTCTTTGCTGCCTCTCCCTGTGCCGTGCTCCGCGGCTGGGTCTCCGCCGCCCGCGCAGGGTTATCCACGGGGCTGTGTGCAGAGCTCCTGCTCCGCTTTGCGGCGTGTTGGCTTTTTTAAATGCGTTTTGATAAGGCATTGATAGATTTTAATTAAAGGGGGAGAGGAACCCACGCCGTCTCCCAGGCAGGCAGGGGTGGGGAGAGGGAAATGTCAATATGTGCCCATATCTGCAGGGTTCATGCATCACAGCGCTCTCGCTCTGCTGGCTAAATAGGGAGGGAGCCCGGCTCCCTGCACTGCTCGGAGTGGAAACAGCTCTCCGCGCCCTCTGCTTGCTCCGTCCCTGCGTCTCTCTCCTCTCCTTTCCTCCGTGACACCTCCACTTCCTCCCCGCCTCTCCCCGGCGGCTGGGCTTTGCTTCTCCCGGGATCTGGCTCCCTGGGACTCAGGGGCTGTAACGACTTTCCGCGACGTGCCCCCATCATTCCTGTTTCCTGTGCTGAAGGTTACCCTTCATGGGGGACGGTTGGCAGACTGGCTGGGAGCGGGGAGGGACGGGAATGAATTTCTTGGCTTGTGCTTTCTTGACCACTCTTAGCTAAAGGGGCAGCAGGCTAATTGGGCCCGTGGCTGCCCTCTGGGAGGGTGTACATGGGGGGGCGGTTCTGTGCTGGTTGGCAGGGTTTCCAGTGGCATTCTCATGCCCAGCCCTTCAGCCTGGCTTCCCAAGGCAGCCTGGGCCTGTCTGCCTGTGTTTTCAGTGTCTGTTCAGCTGGTGCCGGTGCTGGGGATGCAGCCCGCACAGAGGCCAGGCGCTGGGCTCCAACGTGTGGCATCAGAGGGGGTCAGGTTCCCTTCTGTCTGAGGTGGAGGATCTCGGAGGCTGGCTCGTTGCTGGACTTGCATGGAGTTCTCAGAGCTGGTGGCTGGCAGAATCAGCCGCTCTCTCGTTTGTCTCCAGCTCCCCCTGCTCTAATGTTCTGCTGAAACCGTGGGGCATCTTGGGGGAACCAACTGGCGTCCCCGGAAAGCACGGTGAGGCTGGCCCAAGGCCAGTCAGCCCCAGCCAGGGCCTGTGACTGGTCCTCCCACCCCGGGAAGGATCTGCCAGGGGAGACCCTGGCTCTCAGGTGCGAGTTGGCGCGTAGGACTGGCAGGGGGCTGAGAGGCCCAAAGGGATAATGGGACATGTGGTGGAGTGTGAGGTAAGGATGTTAAATAACAATTAATTGAATAGTTAATTAACCTAATGATTTCTTATCAGTTACTCGACTATTTTATCGTCCTCAGGGGTGGGGCCAGCAGCCAATGCGCTCTGGCCCCACTCCTGAGGAGCCCCCCCATCCCTCTGCCACTCTGCCCTGCTGCTGCTCTATCAGAGGCAGCAGCGGAGGTTGCCAGGCGGGAGCTGGTCCGTGAGGGGAGACAGTTTAAAAACCAGCTCCCCTTGCGGACCGGCTGCCTGTCGCCCTGTGCGGTTGCCCCTGATACAGAAGTAGCAGCGCGGGATGGCAGCAGCCCCTGTCCAGAGGAGGGGTCTGAGCTCCTGGACCCGTCGTGAGCCAAGACTGAGCCGAGCTGCCTGCCCCCTAATACACTTTAAATACAGAACCGCAGCGGGGGTAGGTCCGGGACCCAGTGCAAACTGGGACTGAGCTGGGCTGCTGGCCAGCCTGCTAAAAAAATGTGCGTATCAATTAATTGGTTAATCGACTACACTATTACATCCCCGTGCGAGGATGCTGTGTGGGAGGGACCGTACGGAGTGGGCGAGGAAATAGCTCTGTTTTGCCACTAGAGGGCAGGAAAGAGCCTCCATGCAAGACTGGGCGCAGACATGCATAAGGAGCATGGGTCCCCTGCGCTCTAGGGGCCCTGCTGGGCTCTGGCTTGGGGGGCGTTGGAGAGGAAGGCGGGGAACACGTCAGCAGCGTAGGGGCAGACTCCACCAGCTCCCTGGCCCGAGGTTAAAGCCGCGGGGCCGCAGGGGAAGGCGTGTCTGTGCCAACCCGGTAGTTAGAGAGCGAGACTAATTCCTGAGCTGCAGTAGGGTCCCAGATGGGGGTCGCTGCTGATCACCCTCGTCTGGCTTTACCACGGAGCGTGGCCGTCCAGCCTCCCCAAGGCTTCGGTGTCCGACCACACGTGGGCATGCCGCCCAGGATGACGGTGTATGAGCTAGCAGAGTCCTCGATCCCTCTCCTGCTCACAGGGGCTCTGCTAAGGGCCTGGGCTCGGAAGTGCAGCCGCTGGGTTCCTGAACTCTCCTGCCGTGGCGCTGGGCCGTGTTACTTTTCCAACTGAGCCAGTGCTGCAGGTGGCCTGGCGTGGGATCCTAGTGAGACCATTAATGTAAGAGCGGGTGTGGGTTGAGCATATGCAGAAATGCTCTGCCCTCCCGCCAGGCTGATGTGTTCCCGTCCGTGTTTCCGCTGCGGGCTGTACGGGAGACATGTGGTGCCCTGTGTGTGTGGCCAGACGTCACCGTGCTATTACCCGACCCAGATGGCACCTGTCGCTTTCTGTACCGAGGCTGCTGAGCTGGAGCTGGTGCTGAGACCCGCAGTGGCCTCAGGAAGTGAAGTTTTTCTGTTCCGTTTCGCCACTCTCCCTCCTTGACCAGAAGGGCAGAAATTAGCAACGCACCTGCTTACCTTCCCTTCTTCTCACTTGGCTGGATGCCAGTGTCTCCAGCTTCTCTCTCAAAAGCTTTTCGCAGTTTCATCCAAGGCTGCTTCTCAGCGCCCAGGAGCCTGGGTCAGGCCCCCAAGTGGTACAAATCGGTGTAGTGACACTGAAGTCAGTAGAGCGGTGCCCATCCACACCAGCCCAGGGTCTGCCAAGCCCAGGTAATGACGGGATGGCTGCCCAGGTTGCTTTCAGTCCCTGTTTATAGTTCTTCTGCAGAGATTTTTTTGGTGTGAAGTACCTGAGGAGGGCGGGATAAATAATTCAAGAAGAAATATTTCCATAAATGCTCTTGCAGCTTCTTAAGCCGAAAGTAACTGGTCTGGTGAGCGACTTCATTTGTAGGGGCATTTTCTGGAGCTGCTGATGTTCGGCGAATATTGCAGAAATGCTCAGAGAGCTCCAAAAACTATCAAGGAATTGAAAAACAGGCCTTCTGGGGACAGACTTAAATAGATTAAGATCATTATCTTATCAAAGAGAGGGCTAAGGGATGATTTGATTACAAACTCCAGGTACCAGCAAAAAGAGATCTGACTGTAGGAAGCCCTTTCATTTAGCAAATGAAGGCATAACAAGGTCCAATGGTTTGCAGTTTAAAAAAAATCATTTTGGGAATAAGATGCTAATTTTTAAGTGAGGGCAATTAGCCATTGAAACAGCTTAGCAAGCGGCGATGGTGAATTCATCACTGGAAAGCTTTAAATCCAAATTGGATGTCTTTCTAAAAGATGCTCTCTAGTTCAACCACACATTAATCGGCTCTGTAATGTCACTTCAATAGCAGGGAAAAATTTCCTTCGCTGCAGGAATTACGGGGTGAAATTCCGTGACCTGTGCTGTCTTGAGAAATGGAGATTGAGAGTGGGGAACCTGATGATAGTCTCCCACTGTGTCCAGGGCGGCCATAAAGAGGATGGTGATCAATTGCTCAGTGTCCACTGAAAGGAGGACAGATTATAATGGGCTTAACCGGCAGCAAGAGAGATTTAGGTTAGATGTCAGGAAGAACTTTCTAAGGAGAAGGAGAGGAAAGCTCCGGAATAGGTTTATCAAGGGAGGTTTTTAAGAAGAGGCTGGACAAATGCCTGTCAGGGCTGGGCTAGGTTTATTCGGTCCTTGGCTTTTCCTCAGCACAGGGGGGTGGCTTCCAGTCTCACACTGCAATGGGACTCGGTGCCGTCCTGCGCTGTGAAGGCTACATGCTCATAGTGGTTCTGTTTGGGCATTGAACCTTCGCAGAAGTGACTGTGCTAGGAGCCTGACTGAAAACTAAGCTTGTCCCACCAGGAGATGAGCCCTCTGATGTGACCTCAAAATGGTGGGAGTTTGCAAGTGGCGAATGTGAGAAGGTGTGCCTGACCGAGCTGTGGGCAGAGAACTATTGTCAGTGACGAGCGGAGGGAAGGAAACTCTGCATGGAGAGAGGCAGCTTGGGGGAAGAAAAAGGACCTGGTGGAAGTTTGCCCCAGAGGTTCTGAGGAGCCTGGGTTGGACACTTCCTAGCAGGCGTGGCCCTCCTGCCGGGCATGGCCACGCCACTATGAGGGTGCTGGTCTGTGGCTCTCCTGCCGGGCATGGCCACGCCACTATGAGGGTGCTGGTCTGTGGCTCTCCTGCCGGGCATGGCCACGCCACTATGAGGGTGCTGGTCTGTGGCTCTCCTGCCGGGCATGGCCACGCCACTATGAGGGTGCTGGTCTGTGGCTCTCCTGCCGGGCATGGCCACGCCACTATGAGGGTGCTGGTCTGTGGCTCTCCTGCCGGGCATGGCCACGCCACTATGAGGGTGCTGGTCTGTGGCTCTCCTGCCGGGCATGGCCACGCCACTATGAGGGTGCTGGTCTGTGGCTCTCCTGCCGGGCATGGCCACGCCACTATGAGGGTGCTGGTCTGTGGCTCTCCTGCCGGGCATGGCCACGCCACTATGAGGGTGCTGGTCTGTGGCTCTCCTGCCGGGCATGGCCACGCCACTATGAGGGTGCTGGTCTGTGGCTCTCCTGCCGGGCATGGCCACGCCACTATGAGGGTGCTGGTCTGTGGCTCTCCTGCCGGGCATGGCCACGCCACTATGAGGGTGCTGGTCTGTGGCTCTCCTGCCGGGCATGGCCACGCCACTATGAGGGTGCTGGTCTGTGGCTCTCCTGCCGGGCATGGCCATGCCACTATGACGGTGCTGGTCTGTGGCTCTTCTGCCGGGCATGGCCACGCCACTATGAGGGTGCTGGTCTGTGGCTCTCCTGCCGGGCTGTTTCTGGTCTGTGCCCCCCCGGCCGGGCGTGCCCACGCCGCTATGAGAGTGCTGGTCTGTGGCTCTCTTGCTGGGCGTGGCCACGCCGCTATGACGGTGCTGGTCTGTGGCTCTCCTGCCGGGCGTGGCCACGCCGCTATGAGAGTGCTGGTCTGTGGCTCTCTTGCTGGGCGTGGCCACGCCGCTATGACGGTGCTGGTCTGTGGCTCTCCTGCCGGGCGTGGCCACGCCGCTATGAGAGTGCTGGTCTGTCTATGGGGGTGCTGGTCTGTGGCTCTCCTGCTGGGCGTGGCCACTCCACTATGACGGTGCAGGTCTGTGGTTCTCCTGCCTTCAGGTTGAGTTCAATTAGGGGCTTAAAGCAGGGATTCAGCCTCTCTGTTTTGCCTGAAGAACATGGCGTGTCCTCCCCAGGCTTCCAGCACTTCCCCTTTGAGCCCAGGGCACTGAGCAGATACTGGTCCTTCCTGAATGGATGTGGACCTGAATTGCCCAAATGTGCTAAAAAAACCCGAGCTCTGAGGGCCCCCGTCCCTGTCTCAGCCCTTAGCTTGGGGCCCTTCAGGCAAGGAGGCTGCAGCTCCGAGCTCTCAGGACTGGGAGTTGTCAATAATTCTGCTTCGAACAGAGCTAATTAACACTGGCTTGGTTGGTGTTACCATGTCTCCCCCTCCTGGCCACCCGCAGCCTGCTCTCCACCTAGCTCAGGGCCAACGCCAGAGGCCAGGAAGAAACAAGGCAGCATGAAGTTGGGAGCTGAGGAATAACCTACCCAGCGGGGGCTTGGTAAAGTTCCCTCTTGAGCTGAGTAGGTTGGGTGGGGACGGTTCTGTGGCCAGCCATGTGCAGGAGGTCTGTCTCGCTGCCCCTGATGGCCCATGCTAACCGTGAGCGGCTGAGGCTGTGCTCTGCAGCAGGAGGGGTTTCTATCCCTGCGCCACACCACACCGCAACCCCCAGCAGGCAGCATGCAACTGCCCCGAGTCCCCACACTGCATCACACGCCGCTGGCAGCATCCTGTCTCTCTTCTTCTCGAGTCTCAGGCTTCATCCGTAACCCGGCGTCGCTTTAATTAGAGCTTCCTCAACGTCCCCGTTTCCCCGAAGAGAAGCCACCGCCTCCAGCCCTTTAAACCGTCTGTGGAGTCGCGCACGCTGCGGGGCGGGAGTCGGGGAGCAACGAGTCCCCACACTGCATCACACGCCGCTGGCAGCATCCTGTCTCTCTTCTTCTCGAGTCTCAGGCTTCATCCGTAACCCGGCGTCGCTTTAATTAGAGCTTCCTCAACGTCCCCGTTTCCCCGAAGAGAAGCCACCGCCTCCAGCCCTTTAAACCGTCTGTGGAGTCGCGCACGCTGCGGGGCGGGAGTCGGGGAGCAAAGGGATCCTTTCATGGCTCGCGTCAGGCAGGTGCCGAGAAGGGTCAACTGGCAGCGGATCAGAAAACGCGAGGGGCGGGAGAGGTCGTTCCCGCCGCGCCTTGTGTGGGGAAATTGGCGCAGCAGGATGCCCTGATGAAACAGCCGAGGGAGGTC